GAAGGAAAAGAAGAAGAAAAAGAAGAAGGAAAAAGAAGAAAAAGAGAAGAAGAAAGAAGAAAGAAAAAAGAGAAGAAAGGAAAGAAGAAGAAGAAGAAAGAAGAAGAAGAAAGAAAGGAAAGAAGAAGAAAAGAAGAAGAAAGAAGAAGAAGAAGAAGAAGAAGAAGAAAAGAAAAAGAAGAAAGAGAGAAGAAGAAGAGAAGGAGAAGAAGAAGAAGAAAGAAGAAGAAGAAGAGAAAGAAGGAAAGAAGAAGAAGAAAGAAAGAAGAAGAAGAAAAAAGAAGAAAGAAAGAAGAAGAAAGAAAGGAAGAAAGAAGAAGAGAAAAAAGAGAAGAAGAAAGAAAGAAAAGGAAGAAAGAAAGAAGAAGAAGAAAAGAAGAAGAAAGAAAGAAGAAAAAAGAAGAAGAAAGAAAGAAGAACAAGAAAAGAAGAGAAAGAAGAAGAAGAGAGAGGCGGAAGAAAAAGAAAGAAGAAGAAGAAGAAGAAAAGAAGAAAGAAGAAAAGGAAGAAAGAAGAAAAAGAAGGAAAGAAAGAGAGAAGAAGAAGAAGAAGAAGAAGAAGAAGAAAGCGAAAAGAAAAGAAGAAGAAAAGAAAGAAGAAAAAGAAGAAAGAAGAAGAAGAAGAAAGAAGAAAAGAAGAAGAAGGAGAAGAGAAAAGAAGAAGCAAGACGAAGAAGAGGAGAAGAAAGAAGAAAGAAAAGAAGAAGAAGAGAAGAAGAAAAAAGAAGAAGAAGAAGAGAAGAAGAAGAAAAGAAGAAGAAGAGGAAGAAAGAAGAAAAGAAGAAAAAGAAAAAGAAGAAAAGAAGAAAAAGAAGAAGAAGAAGAAGAAGAAATGAGAAGAGAAAAGGAAGAGAAGAAGAAGAAGAAGAAGACAGAAAAAAGAAGAAGAGGAAGAAGAAGAAAGAAGAAGAAAAGAAGAAAGAAGAGGAAGGAAAGCGAAGAAAGAGAAAGAAGAAGAAGAAGAAGAAGAAAGAAGAAGAAGGAAGAAAAGAAGGAAGAAGAAAGAAGAAGAAGAAGAAGAAGAAGAGGAAAGAAGAAAGAAGAGAGAAGAAGAAGAAGAAGAGAAAAGAAAAGAAGAAGAAGAAGAAGAGAAGAAGAAAGAAGAAGAGAGAGAAGAAGAAGGAGAAGAAGAGAAGAAGAAGAAAAGAAGAAGAAGAAGAAGGAGAAGAAGAGGAAGAAAGAAAGAGAAGAAGAGAAAAGAGAAGAAGAAAAAAGAAGAAGAAGAAGAAGAAGAAGAAGAAAGGAAGAGAAAGAAAGAAGAAGAAGAAGAAGAAGAAAGAAGACAAGAGAGAGAAAGAAGAAGAAGAAGAAAGAAGAAGAAGAAGAGAAAGAAGAAAAAAAAGAAGGAAGAGAAGGGAAAAGAAGAAAAAGAAGAAGAGAAAGAAGACGAAGAAGAAAAGAAAAGAAGAAGAAAGGAGAAAAAGAAGAAAGAAGAGAAAGAAGGAAGAGAAGAAAAGAAAGAAGAAGAAGAAGGAGAAGAAGAAAGAAGAAGAAGAGAAAAAGGAAGGAAGAAGAGAGAAGAAGAGAAGAAGAAGAAAGAAGAAAAGAAGAAGAGAAAAGAAGAAGAAGAAGAAGAAAGAAAAGAAGAAAGAAAAAAGAAAGAAAGAAAAAGAAGAAAGAAGAAGGGAGAAGAAGAAGAAAAGAGAGAGAAAGAAAAGAAGAAGAAAAAAGAAGAAAGAAGGAAGAGAAAAGAAAGAAGAAGAAGAAGAGAGAAGAAGAAAAAGAAGAAGAGAAGAAGAAGAAGAAAAAAGAAAGAGAAAGAAGAAGAAAGAAAAAGAAGAAAGAAGAAGAGAAGAAGAGCAAAGAAGAAGGGGAAGAAGAAGAAGAAAAAGAAGAAGCAAGAAAAGAGCAAAAAAAAGAAAAAGAAGAAGAAGAAGAAGAAGAGAAAAGAAAGAAGCAGAAGAAGAAGAAGAAGAAGAAGAAAAAGAAAGAAGAAGAGAAGAAGAAAGAAGAATAAGAAGGAAGAAAAGAAAGAAGCAAAAAGCCTAATTATTCGTAGAAACATTTTTAAATTCCATCTATTGTGCATAGGTACCAGTTAATTATTGTTGGTCGTTTATTAATATTTGTTTTAGTAGTTCTACACATCTGCGCACATTATAGCAAATACTGATTAGACATAATTTGAGTTAAAGATTTTGAGAGTGATAGTAGATTTAATTTTTGTTGCATAATCTAGCCACTCGTTCTTCAGCATTTGTGTGTATGTCTGTGTGGATATATATATATATATATATATATATATATATATATATATATATATATATATATATATATATATATATACACACACACACACACACACATATAAACGCAGAAGACACACAAACAGATTACTATTACACAGCTTACTGCCTGACATATTTCGCTAAATCTTACAAGATGTATACTGTCAAAACTGACAGTTACTGCCTTTATTTTACCATTTTTTAGGCAGTGGGGTCTTTGAGCCTGAGGATTTACGGCCGCATGGCTAGTGCTGTCGCCACGACTGTGCAGGTAAGGATTGTATTTTGCCTCCGACAGAGGATTCGACCTGGGTCTCCCGCTTAATGGCCCAGGGTTCAAACCGTTTGGCCAGCAGCTCGTCGATGTATACCGCAGAAGCATTAAGTCAGTGGGCAATACATCTTTTTGGGAGTTCTTCTTTAGTTAAATTAACAACCGGAAAAAAATTGCTTTCGTTCTTTTTTTTTGTGTGTCTTCTTTAGTTAAATTTACAATCGGAAAACATTGCTTTCGTTCTTTTTCTGTGTGTCTCAGCCTGTTTTCATCTTTGTCCACACATAATGATCAATAAGATTGCTTGGCGTTCATTGAGAGACCGTTGAGCACTTACGTGTGTGATGAGCATATCTCATGTGCAGAATATCGCAGGCGTGTATGTAGTGGTAGAGCGTCTTCTCTATGAGGTCCTGGGGTTCGTATCCCGTCACTGCTGCCACTCTGTGGAGGACAGCAAATAAGGTTGGATTTAGAGGTCAGAGTTGTCCTATCATTTAGGTGAATTTAAATAAGTGCGTATACCCGATGTATGCTGGCACCGCCATGTTTATATGTCAGCCTTTTCATCCATTCACCCCTCTATTCATCCGTCCATCCGTGCGTCCAACAATTCATGCGTCCTTTCACCCACTTAAACATCCATTCATGTACCCATCCATCCACGCGCCCACCAAACCATCCACGCATCCACCCCTCCATCCACACACCCACCCACCCACACACCCATCCCTACATCCACACACCCACCCCTCCATCCACACACCCACCCACCCATCCACACACTCACCCACCCATCCACACACCCACCCATCCACACACTCACCCACCCATCCACACACCCACCCACCCACACACCCATCCCTACATCCACACACCCACCCCTCCACCCACACACCCACCCTCCATCCACGCACCGACCCCTTCATCCACGCACCCAACCCTCCATCCACGCACCCACCCATCCATCCACGCACTCACCCCTCCATTCACGCACCCACCCACCCATCCATTCACACACCCACCCCTCCATCAGTGCGCCCGTTCATCCATCCATCAAACCTCAGCCTGTCTGCTATCTATGACGAAATATGTGTGTGTGCGGATGTGAGCGGATGTGTGTGGTTGTGTGTGTGCGTGTATGTATGCATGCACGCGTGTGTGTATGTATGTGCGTTTATTTGTGTATATATATGTATGTCGTGCGCGTGTGTATGTATGGATGTAAAAAAAGGGAGGGGGAGGGGTGCATAACTGGGCGTATGAGTGTGAATGCGTCTGTCTGTCTTTCCATCTCTATTAATTCACCCACCCACCATCACGTCCATCCATATTTTTCTATTTTTCTTTCTGTCTGTCCGTCCGTCTGTGCATTTGTCCATCTGTACGTTTGCCCGCCCGTCCCAGCTTACCTTGCATCCAGAAATATTAGCTTGAGATCCAGCGAGGCCCGGAACATAAACATGTTAGAAAACATCTTAATCTCTGTGATGGCCGATGGAGGCAGCGAGTGGCCCACAGCCACCAAGCCCACGTTTTGGCAGCAGCCGTCGTATGGAGCGATGTCCAGCGTGTAGTGCTTGACTTTCAAGTAGCCACTACAGTGAATCACCTGTAATTACAGTCGATGGTGTTAACTGACACTCACACACATTAATGAAAATGAAGACTTTCTTTTTTACAAGTTAAAAGAATTGACAAAATCAAATTAAACAGCCCTGTTCTCAAGAATAACAATTTGCTGACATCAGGTTAATTCAGTCACAGATATCGCAGCCAAGCAGACAAAAGTAGACTATGTGTTTGTTTGTTGGTTGGTTGGATACATGTCATTTTCCGTTGTCTACAATTTTCAGTCTCATGAATTGAAAATGATTTATGATATAGTTGTTCTATTATGTTCTATCTATCTATCTATCTATCTATCTATCTATCTATCTATCTATCTATCTATCTATCTATCTATCTATCTATCTATCTATCTATCTATCTATCTATCTATCTATCTATCTATCTATCTATCTATCTATCTATCTATCTATCTATCTATCTATCTATCTATCTATCTATCTATCTCTATCTATCTATCTCTATCTATCTATCTATCTATCTATCTATCTATCTATCTATCTATCTATCTATCTATCTATCTATCTATCTATCTATCTATCTATCTATCTATCTATCTATCTATCTATCTATCTATCTATCTATCTATCTATCTATCTATCTATCTATCTATCTATCTATCTATCTATCTATCTATCTATCTATCTATCTATCTATCTATCTATCTATCTATCTATCTATCTATCTATCTATCTGAGCCCGGCTCTCTAGCGTAGTTGGCTAAACCGGATTGCGCTGTGACCGGGTGACGAACTCCTTGTGGTCCGGGTTCACTCCCGGGGGTAGGCAGAAAAGCCACATTTCTCCCAGATTTACGGTATTTACAATGGAATTGAGGCCGAAAGATTGCGATATCCATAATAACGAGCCTAAGGGTTAACAACTCATGGCTTCTGGATACTAAAACAAACAAAACAATCTATCTATCTATCTATCTATCTATCTATCTATCTATCTATCTATCTATCTATCTATCTATCTATCTATCTATCTATCTATCTATCTATCTATCTATCTATCTATCTATCTATCTATCTATCTATCTATCTATCTATCTATCTATCTATCTATCTATCTATCTATCTATCTATCTATCCATCTATCCATCTATCCATCTGTCCATCTGTCCATCTGTCCATCTGTCCATCTGTCCATCTGTCCATCTGTCCATCTGTCCATCTATCCATCTATCCATCTATCTATCTATCTATCTATCTATCTATCTATCTATCTATCTATCTATCTATCTATCTATCTATCTATCTATCTATCTATCTATCTATCTATCTATCTATCTATCTGCCTGCCTGTCCGTCCGTCCGTCCGTCCGTCCGTCCGTCCGTCCGTCCGTCCGTCCGTCCGTCCGTCCGTCTGTCTGTCTGTCTGTCTGTATGTCTGTGCAAAATTTCAGTTCTGGAAAAAAGACTGAAGTCTAGAAGTGGACGAACAACCAGAACTTTCCGTCCGAATTTACAGTCGCTGAACGTGAAGAAGAAGGAGAAGAAAGAAGACCGATAAATATAGTCAAACAAGGGTAGGAAAACGGCCACACGTCACGACATACTTGGACCTGCCCTTTGAGTGTACGGGAAGGCCGAAATATTCGACACAAGGGTGATATCATAGCAGTCAGAAGCTTCCAGGTGTGCTCTTGGGGGGGGGGGGGGGGAGAGGAGTTTTTAACATTTTGACGGTTGCTTAGACAAACAACAAAAATACACAAATTAAAGTATGATTACGTGTATATTCGGTTTGCCCACATAATACAGACCTACAGAGGCACACACATACACAGACAGATAGAAACACACGCGCGCGTACAGACACGCGCGCACACGTACATACACGCACACATAGTCGTTTACCTTGTAACCAGCAGAAGTCAGGCCAGCGTTTCTCTTGGCGAGCACACACTTCATCCTCAGGAAAAATGACCGCTCTAATTCCACATCTGACGATATCAATGACAGAAGCAGTTGAAACATGTGGCCAACCACAAACAAGAAGAGACAGTTGGTATATCAACATGGTCGTGTAGCTGGTTCGGTGTTTGGTTAGTGGTTGATTTTGGGGTCTCTGTGGCCTTGTGTTCGGAAGGTCGTGGGTTCGTTTGACGGTTGCATCGTTCAGTTCACTAGTGCAATTTTTACGCAGATCCATCGGGATGGTCATTAGAGCTACGGAGTTCATGTTTTTACGACGCTTTCGTGCGGCTGTGAGTGAGCCCAAGCCAGCTGTGATAAACCCTGTGCAATGAAGTCGAACCTCTTTAAAAATTTTGATTTAACTGGATGATTGCTTAGCAGTGTTGTTGCTTGTTTGGGTGACAGACTTGTATGTTCGCTGCTTGGCTGGCTGGTTGTTTGGTTGGTCGTCTAGATTAGTTTGTTATTTGGTCGACTGTTTAGTCGGTTGCATCTTTGGTTGTTATGTTGGTCTTTCAGTTGGTTGTGTGTTTAGTAGTTTGTATAGTGGCTTGTTTAGTTGGTATTTAATTGAATGCTTGATTAGTTTATTGATTGGTTGTCTGTTTAGCTAGTTGTTTACTGTTGTTAATCTCGATAGTTTGGATGTTTAGCTGGGTTTTGTTAGGTGTTTCGTTGGTTGTTTAGGTGGTTGTTTATATGGCTGTTTAGGTGTTTGTTTAGGTGAATGTTTAGGTGGTTGTTAAAGTGAATGTTAAGTTGGTTGTTTAGGTTTGTGTAGGTGATTGTTTGGTTGCTTGTGTGCCTGGTTGCTTGTTTAGTTATTTACATTCATGCTTGGCTAGCCGATTGTTTGGTGTGTTTTTTTCCTATACTTGTTTATTTGGTTGCTATTGTAGTTGGATGCTTGTTATACTGCTTGAGTGGTTTGTTGTTCAGTTAGTTCATGAGTGAATGGCTTTGTGTTTGTTTAGTTGGCTCGTTATTTGGTTGAATAGTTTGTGACTGGTTTATTATTTTGATTTGTTTTTTTTTTTTTTTTTTTTGAAGGCAAAGAAAGAAAAGAAAAAAAAACAATCATTACGTTTGTGATCTGTTAAACTATATGGGTAAAGGTACGAAGGGCTTATCAACATTTTTTTGTTCTTTCAGTTTGCTCTCCCAAATTTGAACCAGACTTCTACGGCTTTCCTGGATTGTCACAGAGGCCCATCCCCTACCCCTCACTACCTCACTACACCAGGGGCGGGGAGGGAAGGAAGCACCGATTTGGGCAAACACCGGTCTAGCATAAGCATAGTTAGAGATAACTTATACGCTGTTCAGGAGTGAAGGAAGGGCGGATAGCACTACAGCGAATTAAAATGTGACTTTACTCTATACATAATAATGTATTAAGAAAATCGGGAAAAAACCAGTCAGATAGTGTCTTGTAATTACCTTGCAGCATGTGGTTGTGGTACTGGTGATGAGCGGTCAGCAGTGCGGACATCTCATCATGGTCAGCTGGGTGAATGTACTCGTAGATACTGCCACCAGTGAGCTCCACCTGCAGTGTTGAAACTAGAGTTAAAGCTCGTCTAGACCCATGTACCTTATTCAACCTGTGGCCCGAGGACCGATGTCGGTCCGTGGAAATTACCTGGCGGCCCACTTTTGTGTGCGTCCACCTGCCGTAAAATGTGTCTTCTAATTTCCTGGTCCGTGAAATACTTCTACTATTTCCCAGTCCGCAGGTGTAAAATAGTTGAAGAACGATGATCTAGACTTAGAATACACCATGTTGATGCGATCAAGGGAGACAAACACAAATAATGTCCCCAACCAATGGGCGACCCGGTAGTCGATGTGAAAAGAAAACAGTTTAGACCCGAATTCAAATAGTAATAAATTAATGGCACATCTCCCTGTGTGGTGTCTGGGGTTCCGTGGGGTGTGTAGCAAGACTATATTGTCCCGTGTCTAAATTAGGGTCTCCCCTAGTAATTTAAGACACTCTGAAGTGACATATAATGGCTGCTCGTATTGGGCCAGCGTTTCTCAAACTTTTTTCGCTGCGGCACCCTGGTCAGAAAAAAAAATTCGCGGCACACCTACTTTTAAAGCGAGATGAATACTTGTGAGAAAAAAAAGTGCAATGTTCAGTTGTCTTTAATGCGATGAAAGAAACTGTTTTGATGAATTTTTCAATACTCCCTTTATGTTTACGGGAAGTTATTTATACCCTTAAGTCACTCGAAGACCGCTCCTGTATTTTTTTTTTTTTTTATGTGAGCCTAAGTTGAGAATGCTCTGCAACCTTGCCAATAGCTTTGTTTTCTGAATACACCTGTATCTCGAACTCTTCTTGGTTGGCTTTCTTCGTGGATTTTCTGTTTCGCTGATCTCATGCAGATTTTGAAAATTTCTTGATTATTGACGCGGCACTCTTGGCATACGTTCGCTGCACCCCTGGGTGCCGCGGCACCCAGTTTGAGAACTGCTGGTCTAGGCAGTACTCCGCAGCTCCAGCAACGCAGCTCAAGTATTTAAAACCAAATAATTTCTAAAGATAATCGTGGGATGACTTGGCCAGACTTCCTCACCACTTAATAGCCCCTAAAATGAACAGGATCACTATCACAGTCAAAACAAAAAAAAAAAAACAAAAAAAAAACACACAACAAAACAAAATATCCACAAAAATCTGATAGAATAAAAATCGACACACAGATCTAACTAAAGTGAACTGTGAAATACTACACACTAACAAAGATAAGTTCTGAATAACAGTGTCTGGTGTAATAAGTTCCAAACAATATAAGAAATCTCTGGGGTGCCAAAAGTCATTGTCTGTGCTCATCACACCGTCCGGTGTGTAAAAGGGTAATGAGAGCTTTCCGGGAAGTTGCTCGGTTGACTGGAACCAAAGTAACAAACAATCACATTGACAAGGAAGTTGGTAGCTGTGAGTGAATTCACGATATAACTCTGTTAGCGAATACATCGCGCGTGATTTAGGGAAATGCCTTATTACTTGGGGGGGGGGGGTGTAGGGTTAGGGTTAGTAGTAGTCGCCATTCATTTAACACTAACCCTAACCCCCCTATAATATGGGATATCCCTGAATCACGCGTGATATGGTTGCTAAAAAGAAAAGTACCTATAACTCACTCCCAATAGTTTTAGGGTTGAACAAAATGCCTTCACATAAATCCTGGCCCATACTCACTAAAGACGGACTATTTACTTATGGTGAAATAGTCAATATTTGAATACAGATAATTTGCATAGATGTGTACAGGAAGTTGAAGAAACTACTAGCATATGGGGTGTTCTGCTGGCTACGTGACGGGCGAGGCGGGAGGGTAGGTACTGTTCCTATCCCCCTCCACGACCCCCCCTCGCCCCCCCCCCCCCCCCCACTTCGCAATTTTTTTGGGCCACTCCAAATATAAATGTTAGACACTGCGACTAATTAGAAGCCTGCTGACATCGTATGCGTTAGGTCAGAAGGCGCAAAAAAAAAAAAAAAAAAACATAATGTCTCAACCGTCCTTGTTAAGGTGAATGCTGAAGAAGAATAAATAGCCGATTACCTGAGATAATCCTAGGTGAACTGATGCCGTTTCTGAGATGTACATGATCTTGCCGTCCGGTGAAACCACGAAGATAAATCCGTCCAGTGTCTGTGGATATCAATGAATAAATGAATGAATGAGCTAGTGAATTAGTGAGTGAGTGAGTGAGTGAGTGAGTGAGTGAGTGAGTGAGTGAGTGAGTGAGTGAGTGAGTGAGTGAGTGAGTGAGTGAGTGAGTGAGTGAGTGAGTGAGTGAGTGAGTGAGTGTGTGAGTGAGTGAGTGAGTGAGTGAGTGAGTGAGTGAGTGAGTGAGTGAGTGAGTGAGTGAGTGAGTGAGTGAGTGAGTGAGTGAGTGAGTGAGTGAGTGAGTGAGTGAGTGAGTGAGTGAGTGAGTGAGTGAGTGAGTGAGTGAGTGAGTGAGTGAGTGAGTGAGTGAGTGAGTGAGTGAGTGAGTGAGTGAGTGAGTGAGTGAGTGAGTGAGTGAGTGAGGAATAAATTTAAAAAATTTGTGAATAAATAAATAAACGAACCAATGAATGGACTAACATGATAATACCTTAATCAACGAGTAAATGAATGAGTGAGTGAATGAATCGAGCAATAAATGAATAAATGCACAGGCGAACGGGTGAATGAAACATTGAATGAAAGAACAGCTGACATCACTACGCTTGGGACATTCCAATAAGTGCTATTTCCTCCCGCTCAAAGGAAGCGTGGAATTTACTTGAATTTCATTCAGAATCACTACTAAAAGGAAATACAAACATTCTCTTGGATACGTCAAATACAGCATCCATCTAGATAATCTCAAGACGCTAACAAACGCCCATTTCATGCTATTGTCGCATCGATCGCCTTCTACGACATGCTTGGTCTGAGTATTAGGTCTATTGATTGTTCTCCAAAATGGAGCCCCGAAACCCAAATGGAGAAAAACTACTTTCCAAAAACCAAACAATCACTAACATTTTTTTCTAAAGACAGACTTGCAGTGAAGGACTTAGCTTTTTGCGGAGCTTATTTATCTTCTGCGTTAACCCACAAAGGGACGGTTGACATGTTATGTTATGGTTTACAGCTAGGCTACGATAGCTGAACCCAACTCATCCCATTACTGCAAATCTCGGTTGTGGTTTTTTACTTTTTTTTTCAGAGAACTTTGTTTAGAGGAACCCTAGCTTCAGCTTCAGAGAACTTTGTTTAGAGGAACCATAGCCTCAGCTTCAGAGAAATGTGTTTAGAGGAACCATAGCCTCAGCTTCAGAGAACTTTGTTTAGAGGAACCCTAGCTTCAGCTTCAGAGAACTTGGTTTAGAGAAAGCCTAGCTTCAGCTTCAGAGAAATTTGTTCAGAGGAAGCCTAGCTTCAGCTTCAGAGAACTTTGTTCAGAGGAAGCCTAGCTTCAGCTTCAGAGAACTTTGTTCAGAGGAAGCCTAGCTTTAGCTTCAGAGAACTTTGTTCAGAGGAAGCCTAGCTTCAGCTTCAGAGAACTTTGTTCAGAGGAAGCCTAGCTTCAGCTTCAGAGAACTTTGTTCAGAGGAAGCCTAGCTTCAGCTTCAGAGAACTTTGTTCAGAGGAAGCCTAGCTTTAGCTTCAGAGAACTTTGTTCAAAGGAAGCCTAGCTTCAGCTTAAGAGAAATTTGTTCAAAGGAAGCCTAGCTTTAGCTTCAGAGAAATTTGTTTAGAGATGCAATTGTATAATTTGTACTGGAGCGAATCAGGAGCGCAACTTCCGGATAATAATCATGTAGGGGAAATCCCGAGCACGAATCACTTTAACCGAAGCGGGAATCATATTCGGCTGGGGCAGAGATTCCCGATAATGTTGAAGGGAGATGACTGTCTGTGTGGGTGGGTGTTTGTGTGTGTGTGTGCGCGCTCGCGTGCGTGCGTGCGTTATTGTGTGTATTTGTGTGTGTGTGTTTGTGTGTGTCTGTGAGGCTTCCCATGGCTAGAGAGAATATGCGTAGTGTGTTGGAAAGAGGGTCTGTATATTTAAGGAGGATGTGTAGGCTGAAGGGCGCAAATATCGCAGATTGTCTGTAAACAAGTTCATCGCTTTTACGTCACCCCGACGACGATGAAGATGTATGCAAGAGAAAAGCTGTTCAATGACTGAGTGAGAGTCCGAGACTCACAACCGTTAAGTTGCCACAGGAAAAATGCATGATCTCAAGATTTTTACTTTGTTAATCAATTGACTAGAGCTTTACCAAATGTTCTTTATGCTATTTAATCCCTGCATCTTCTTGTTTACGTCATCTGGATATTTCTTTTTATCTGCCCTGATTCGCTTCCTAACTTCCTTATTAGCTCCTACGGGTTTTTTTTCCTGAGCTCTAGCTTTAGCAGCTCTAGTTTTGCTTTTGTTTAAGTCTGGGTTTTTTTTTTTTTTTCTACTTTTCATTTCTTCTATCGTTTTAACGGTTTCTGATGTTATGCATGCTTTATTTTTCCTTTCTTGCTTACCAAGGACGTTTACACAAGATTTATTCAGATTTCCTTGATCTGTCCTAGCATACTTCGGTGCTTACTTCTTCAGTTAACTGCTGCAACATATGTTACTTATTAGAGACTGTAACTGAAAATTATTCTTTAACTTCTATATACACAAGTATCGTATACTACTTATGAAAACTAGTCCCTTAGTTATTGAACGGGCGCTTATATGTATCGAAACGAGGCACTACTCATTTTATAGTACATGCCCTAAAGCTGTGGTAATTATGTCCATTCCCAATTTCTCTCTCATCTACTTCTTTTTTGTAGCAATTCAGGTGTGTCTACGCTGGCTTTAATAATCTGCTAGGATATCATCTGGATCTGCCGCCTTTCCTTCCTTCAGAAGATTTAGTCTACTTTTCTTCGTCTTCATTGTTTGTTGAAGTGACGTAATGCATTGTCTACTTACTGCGACAGTTGCGCATTTCAGCCGACACATCCAACTTCTTTGGACATCTGTTTTCCGGGTTAACCTTCCCAGGTCTCTTGAATACTGTCAATTATTCTTTCTTCCACCCGCTTTGAAAGCCAGGTTACTTAGTAACCGAAAGGGTTAATCAAGTAAAGAAAAAGACCCTTTTCCCCGCCTTCAAGCCGCATTGGGCATATAGGGCTAGATCTATATTATACAGACCAATCGGCACTTGGTTGGTGATATGGTCAGCATCACGCCGGCCGCTTTTACCTCCCAGGAATTTACCTAGAACCCACTCAAGGCTGGGTCAAGAAGAGTGCCGAGGTTATTTTTCTCAGAAATCCGGCTCGTTTATTATTTTTATTTTGAACGTTCACTGGTTGTTAACTCCGGCGGAAAGTTCTGTTTGTCCATTCCTGTTCAAGAACTTGAGTTTTGCGTGCACATCCGTTTTACAGATTGGGCATCTTTGTATTATCACTGTTGGTTCCTCGCCTCTCAGATGCACTACAACTTTGAAGAAACATAACTATTTTGTTGCCTCCTATGGCATGCTTATTGGGGGAGTGAGGGGGAGTGAGTCTATTACCCCCCCCCCCCCCCCCCCGCCCCCAGCAAAAACAAAGAATCTTCCCCTGGATCTACCTAGGGAAGACTGCTTACTCACAGTAGGTCTATCCCCTGAATAGTTTTACTCTGACCCTCAACTTAGGGGTAGTACTGTCCACTTCAGGAAACTGTGAGCAGACTATTTCTATATCGAGTCTCAACTAGAGAAAAGAATCACCAGTAGATACTTTCTTCTCGTTACAAACACCTTACCGGTAAAAAAATAACCGGTCTTTCCAGGCAAACCATTCACTCGTCTGCTATCACGCGCTTCGGCACGTGCCCACGAGTGTGTGTGTTAGGAAATACGTGCTCAAACACAACCCCATCGTGGCCGAGCTCAATCGAACCTTGGACAGGCATCATCCGGTGCGTGACTTTGCAATGTGCCAGCCGTCTTGTTTTCGGAATCAAATGTTTGATAAAATGCTGGGACAAATCGCTCGAGCTTCAGTAGCCGGGATATTTGAATGTATTTACCAGGTTTCGTCAGCTGGAACTCATTCGCTGATACAGCCTGTTTTGAGTGTGGTTGCGTTTGTGTTGTCAACGTCTTTCCTGAGAGCTTATGAAAGCACTTTCATATTTGCCCGTGTATGTTCCGGGGCTCCATTGTGGGGGGGGGGGGGGGGGAGAATAGTCTTACTGCCTCCCCAACAAGCATGTCGTAAGAGTCGATTAAGTTGAGGGGGGAGGGATTCTTCGAAGTCGGAGTGCACCGGCTGTAAACCTCAGCGAAATGTTCTTGTTCGTCCACCTCTGGACTCTAGTGTGGTTCCAGAACCTGAGTGTTCGTGCACAACCGTTTTACAGACCTGACTTATGTATATGTAGACTGTTGGTTCTTGCCTCTCTGGCAGATGCACTCAAACTTCGAAGGAAGCCCCCAGTTAGTCGACTCTTACGACATGCTTGTTGGGAAGGCAGTAGGTCTATTCTTGTTTTCTCCACAATGGGGCAATAGGGCCCCGGAACGCACACGGGGGAAAAAATTGCATTTTGATTTCGCTTCTTGTGCCGCCATGCCACCGCCCCCCCCCCCTCCTTTTTATTTTTACAGTGCCGCCTGACGCGGTCGCATCTCTGCATCACAGTACAGCACGGCCCTGATCCTACAGATGCTGTAGTCCACGTCTTTGTACACTGGGCATCCTTATGCATGCTCAGTCCTCCGATGCAGCAGCCACTTCAAAGAAAGTGGGTTCAGGACCTAGCGGAACAGGAAGTTTTCAAAAATGGCCTTGGCTCCCAGCCTTAAATTTGTATTTGCTGGGAAGTAAAAGCGGCCACATCCACTAAATCGAGGACTAGTCCTATTTTCCCAGTATGCCAGGAGACGTGTAAAAGGGTCCTTTATTTTACTCTATCATACTACTTACCTGCAGTAAGAAGGAACGGACTCGAGAACATAATTATAAATGACAAGATTTTTGCTTTGAATCGTCATCTCCTTAGGGGATGCCACTTTTTTGTTGAAGCCTCACCTCGGCTTTTGCCGGGGGCCCTAATATAGCCGGGCCATAAATATGGCCTAACAGCTGAACGGAGTTTCCGGGACTTCTCCGCGGGTGATCCTCATTCGCATGGTGGCACTTTGTGTCACCAGGTGTTTATCGCTTGTGTGATGTCCTGGTGGGATACAACTTATCTATCTACATCCAGTATTGATCGAAAAAGAGCAGGGTAAAAAATCAAAGAGATAAACAATGCGAGAGAGAGAGAGAGAGAGAGAGAGAGAGAGAGAGAGAGAGAGAGAGAGAGAGATTTCATTTGTGGTTCTAAAAATATCGCCAATAATTATAAACACAAATAGAAAATACACTATAGTCTACAAATTGATAATAAAAGTTAAAGAAGAGGCAAAGACATTCATCGTTACAACATTGTTACCTGTAGTAGGTGTGAGCCTAGTTCTTTCTCTAGCGGGGTTTTAGGCAGCGACTTCTGACCCCAGGCATCGCCTAGACCTGACGATAGATGTAGATGAAAACGTGAATAAATATTTGAGGAAAGTATCGTCAGTATAGAAAATAGTATTCTTCAGATGGCAGAAGGTAAGGAAGGAAAAACGAATGAAACGGATGATGGAACGAAGGAAGGGGAAAAGAAAAGAATGAAGAGTGGAAATGAACCAAGGAAGGGGGAAAGCATGGGAAAATAGACATGAGGCAGGTAGATAGACATATAGACATGCAGTCGTACAAATACAGAAAGAAAGAAAGAAAGAAAGAAAGAAAGAAAGAAAGAAAGAAAGAAAGAAGAAGAAAGAAAGAAAGAAGAAAGAAAGAAAGAAAGAAAGAAAGAAAGAAAGAAAGAAAGAAAGAAAAGAAAGAAAGAAAGAAAGAAAGAAAGAAAGAAAGAAAAAAAGAAAGAAAAAGAAAGAAAAAAAAAGAAGCAAAGAAAGAAAGAAAGAAAGAAAGAAAGAAAAGTAACAGAAAGAAGAAAGAAAAAGAAAGAAAGAAAGAAAGAAAGAAAGAAGAAAGAAAGAAAGAAAGAAAGAAAGAAAGAAAGAAAGAAAGAAAGAAAGAAAGAAAGAAAAGAAAAGAAAGAAAGAAAGAAAGAAAGAAAGAAAGAAAGAAAGAAAAGAAAGAAAGAAAGAAAAGAAAGAAAGAAAGAAAAGAAAGAAAGAAAGAAAAGAAAGAAAAGAAAGAAAGAAGAAAGAAAGAAAGAAAGAAAGAAAGAAGGAAAGAAAGAAAGAAAGAAAGAAAGAAAGAAAGAAAGAAAGAAAGAAAGAAAGAAAGAAAGAAAGATAGCCTACAAAAGGAACATAAGCTTCGCGATTAAAGAATAGAAACTCGCTCATTTCATCGTCTTCTAACGGCAAACAGTGAAAACGGGATAGCCTGAGAAAACGGCGGAGTCCCACATTAAAATGGATACCCACTATTTGAACGTTGAAATCAGAGAAATGAAACCACCACTGCAAATTACTCCTGTGGCTTCCTTATTTGATTTGAGCCAAGCTGGTAGAAAGGCGCTGAGTATTGCTCGGCCGATCACTGCCGGATTATCTTACCACTGCTCATATTTGCACTAAATGTGAATTCAAACCAGGACTTCTTTATTCCAGGTTCCGACGCCATACAATGATTCCCGCGGTGCGTATCTTAAAGGGGCTTCTTAGATGTGTCGCTTATTGGGCGCCACAGGAGTATTTAGAGCAGTGGTTCTCAAATTATTAAAATATAATAAAAACACATAAAACCAAAGGAAAAATACAATCAGTCAACTGTCAACCCATGGTCCAGTAATAGATTGTCAACCCTTGGTCCAGTAATGGATTGTCAACCCCTGCTTCAGTTATGGATTGTCAACCCCTGGTCCCGTAATGGATTGTCAACCCCTGGTCCCGTAATGGATTGTCAACCCCTGGTCCCGTAATGGATTGTCAACCCCTGGTCCCGTAATGGATTGTCAACCCCTGGTCTCGTAATGGATTGTCAACCCCTGGTCTCGTAATGGATTGTCAACCCCTGGTCTCGTAATGGATTGTCAACCCCTGGTGCAACCCTCAGACACGAGAACCATGGTGTTAGTTTGGCCTGGCCCAAGAAAAATAAAGAAAAAGTCTAGATAGCCGTAACAGTAAAACTAGACACAAATAAATACCAGTCCTCACTCTAAATGAAAACAACCGGAACTATAAATACCACATTGAACATTTGTTTATTTCACTGAAAATAAAACAATACTAAGCTGTTCACAAATAAAAAAAAAACATTAACACCCCTCAACGTGCCAAGCAGTTCACTAATAAAATGAACCATCTTCGAGCGATGATACGCACTGATGTATATGTGACAGAGCTGCCTCTTTTACTGCCTATGCTAAACCAACCCAGGCTCGTTTATATTTGTCACAAGGGTAGCCGATGATGATGTTAAAGATGGTCGTGTCGATAGGGGTGATGGTGATGCACGATTACCACTCGACTCTAAGGCTTGCGTACTGAATCGTTCAACAACACAACAATTCTAAACTGGAATTTTTATTCTCGTACACTAAGAATGTTACACAATGACATCAATGTTGTTCTGAAATGTATGTTACTTGGTTAACTAGCTCTAATGTCTAAGCTGCCACCGGGCTCCTAGTGTAGGTTGGTCTAAAAGGTTTTTATCCTCTTCTTCTAGAATATAACAGGGAATCTCCAGGAAGTCCGACCTATGTGTAGTCCTAATCTATTGTGCTTCGGCTTCTTCTTCTTCTTCTTCTTCTTCTTCTCCTTCTTCTGAGCTCGAGTCAGTGTCTACTCCTGAATCTGACTGGACCCATGGACGGTTAAAAGTAGATGTCGAACTCTCTTACTGTAAAGCGATATACGCGTACTGAACCGTCATCATGTGTAAAAACTAACGTAACCTCTTGGAATGGGCCACGGCTTCTGACGGTGACTCTAATACTGAACATGGATAAATTGTATCTACTCATCTATACTTTCTAATCAACCTGCTCTCTAGTCTGACTTCCTTCCCTGTTTAGCTGGCCGGTGCTTATCTCCTCCCTACCTCTATCTCTGTCTCTGTCTCTTGCCTGTCCCTATCTGTCCCTATCCGTCCCTCTGTGTTCCTATCTGTTCCTATCTGTTCCTATCTGCCCTCTGTGTCCTTTGTGTTCCTCCTCTGTTCCTCTGTGTCCCTCTGTCCCTCTGTGTTCTTCTCAAGGGTTCCGGGCAATCGCTTATAAAGGGGTTACTAGCCTGCTCCCAGGACCTCCCATCCACATTGTTTTGCAGATTCTGCAGCGACTTTAGCTGGCCGGGTCAGTAGAAAGATTTTAATTACTCAAGTGTAAGGTGTGAACGGGAAGAATCACGCGATGTCTAGACTGACGACTGAAAGTACGTGGGAAACAAGAGTAGGGACCTAGGGGGATATAGTTGCTTGCTAAGCACAGTGGAAAAGTTTCAAAAACAAGGGTGAAGGCCATAAGGGGTCTTGTCGTGCAAACAGCACAACACTAAAAGGTGGTATGAGCAATGACTCTGCTACAATATCTACCCACCGTTCTACTACTAGAGACAAACTCAGAGCTAAATACAGAACGTACCACCATCGCAATCACAGGCCAGACTCTCTATCTCGGTCCAGCCAATCGCACCTGCATCGCAATGCGGCCATGTGCTGCCAGCATAAAAAACACAGGGTAATTGACCACTGCCAGCCCGGCAACACGCTAGAGAAGGAGGCCGCGCGGTCCAATTCAATTCCAGTTGTTCAACAAAAATTCCAAAGCTTCCTTGTCTATCTTATTTGGTATCCTATTCTGATTTTCTCATGTGGACTTCTAGTAATTCCCCCTGGTCTCTGATTAGTAAGATCGGAAGCCCTTGTGTATTGTTGCGCACGTAAATAAACCCTTGACAGTTGGAAATCGAAAAAAGTAGCCTAACTGCGCTGCGTGGGCAAAATTTACAGTTTAAAGTCTACCCAAAGTATTTCAGGATCCTGGCTGGTGCAACAAAGTTGGTGCACTGCGCTGAGATTCTTCAGAATCAGACTCAAGTTAGAAGTAGACGGAGCGCTTATGGGTTATACCCGTGTGCCATGTTGATCCGTTAAATAAACAAAACTTCAATTTAAAAAAAAAAAAAATAATTAGCTGTAGAGCCGATCTGTCTTCGTCTTCACACTAAAAGTACGATTGGCACTTTGTTTTGTGGTTTACAGGTAGACTGCGATATCGGCGTCTTTCAGCCCGAAGCCTTCTACGATATGCCTGTTAAGAGGAAGTATGTCTATTCTTGGTTTTTTCTTCCAAAAAAGAGCGGCCTGGAGTCCAGGCGTTTAGTCTTTCTCCCAATCGTTTCATGTTCTCAGCGACTGAACGGCCATCTCCGAGTACAAATATACGACAGAAACAGCTAACAAACCAGGACAAGAGACATTTCAATCACCACCGACCAGAGAACCTGAAAAGCAGCGACGTGGTTGTGCAAATATGGCGGGTGTGTGATACATTTCTGACGGCCGGAGGTTCAATCCTGACAGTTAGCTTCTCTGGCTAATAGGCAATTGTTATCTGGTAGAAGCTGACAGTTCCCACTCCGGTTCTAATGCTTTGTTAAACATGCTGGAACGCGGACATACGTAGAAGTTCAGTCAATCAGTTAGGTGTCGTCTCCACACTTAAGGTCGTCTGCAATGAATCTCTAACAGGCTTTGTCTGCCGTGATAGTTTAACTCGTTCAGTGCCAAACAATTCACTATATATGTCTTGGTTATTGAGAATATAATATGATGCACTTCTGTCTTCGCTGTGGTGTAGAGGTTGGACGTTCGTCTGCGGATTCGACGGTCCTGGGTTCAGGTCGTGACGAAGCTGGACTTTTTTTTCCTTAAGAAAAAAAAAAACAAGACCTTGGCTCCCAGGTCGACTCAACTTTGAAAGGGTGCTGGGTTCTATCCTGTGAAGTAAAGGCGACCGGCGTGATGTTGACCACATCATCAACCAAGTGCCGATTGGTGTATAGAATATAGATCTAGCCCTATATGCCCAATACGCCACAAGGCGAGGAAAAGGATCCTTTACTTTCTCTATGTCCTGAATACTGGAGGCGTAGAAAAGCGTCCTTTACTTTCTCTATGTCCTGTATACTGAAGGCGTAGAAAAGCGTCCTTAACTTTCTCTATGTCCTGTATACTGAAGGCGTAGAAAAGCGTCATTTACTTTCTCTATGTCCTGTACCATGAAGGAGTAGAAAAGCGTCCTTAACTTTCTCTATGTCCTGTATACTGAAGGCGTAGAAAAGCGTCCTTTACTTTCTCTGTCCTGTACCATGAAAGCGCAGAAAAGGATCCTTTACTTTCTCTGTCCTGTGCATAAAGGCACAGAAAAGGATCCTTTACTTTCTCTATGTCCTGTACCATGAAGGCGTAGAAAAGCGTCCTTTACTTTCTTGTCTTCAATCAGAGACAGATTTTACATTAACTCTTTGTATCTGAATTATTAATTTAACTACTTTTGT